AGCGTAATCAATTCCAGACTGTAAATCTGTTTCAGCTTTATTTTTTTAAATATTTTTTTATTACTATTTTTTGTTTAAGGTCATTTAGTTTGTCAACGGGATCGTGGTCAACGCTATGCTTGTGTGTTATTTCTTCTTCTGCTTACTTTTCTTTTTCTTTTTTTTTCTGATTTTTTTTCTTTTTGTTGTTGTTGTTACTCTTCTTTTCTCCTCTCTTTCTTCTTTTCTTTTTTCTTCTCCTCCTACTTCTTATTCTTGTTCTTTGTTTCCTTCTCGTTTCTTGTTCTTCTTCATCTTCTTTTCTTTCTTCTCGTTTCTTGTTCTTCATCTTCTTTTCTTTCTTCTCGCTTCTTGCTCTTCTTCATCTTCTTTTCTTTCTTCTCGTTCTTCTTCACCTTCTTCTTTTCCTCCTAAAGTGACTTGTTCTCGTGCTCTCTCTCGCCTCGCATACCAGGAAAGCAATATGCCTTCCTATCTTACAGAAATCCCACTGTCCTCAGTCTTGTGACCTGTTCTCGTGATCTCTCTCGTCTTACATACCAGAAAAGCCATGTGTTCCTTATCTCACAGTAATTCCACTGTCCTCAGCCGACTCCAACTCGTGAAAATGACGAATGACCTTAGAACACGCTAATTCAACCCTTATTGCTTATGAACAATTCCCATGCTGTTATTCTGTTGTCTATGTGTATAATTATGTGTTGATTATACTCATAATGTTCGTTAGTTAGTTATTCTGAATTACTAAGTATGTTACTGCTAACATTTTCGATATTCAAATGCTTTTATGTTTTGTGAATACTCAGCATTTTTGTCTCATTATCACGAAGCTTTTTAGTCTTGTAAACACCATAATACATTTCTTACATACAGCTGTATATAAGGTACCCTTGTTCCTTCACCACGAAACTACCATGTGACCAGATGTATAGGATTTTATGTTCATTCAGATTCTTTCATGATTTCCATTATGAAATGTTCCAAAAGGAAGTTTGTTGATTGAAATTTCTGAGCAGTCCAGACAGACCGCTCGCCACAGCGGGCCGGGCAGGTCACCCCGCTCTTCCCTGGGCGCCCCTGCCTTGCCTGTCCTCTGTATCCCACCTACCACACTTCCGCAGAAATAAAGACTAGAAGCAGCGACAAATTTAACTTAACTTCAACACCACAACACTTCAAGCACCAAACCAGTACCATACAAAAGAGAGAAATAGAGAGAGAGAGAGAGAGAGGAGACACAGCATCCACATTATTACAGTGTTGGCAGCGGTTTGGGATATCACAGCCCCTTTATAACACTTAGCCGACTCCAACAGGTCTACAGCCGTGACAATGACGAGGAGACCTTAGAGCACGCTAATTCAACCCTTATTGCTTGTAAGTAATTTTCATGCTGTTCTTCTGATGTCTTTATGTATAATTATGTCTTGCTTATACTCAAAATGTTCGTTAGAATTTCTTTCCGAATCACTATGTAATCGTTATTATTGTCGTTATTCATTTTTTTTGTTTTATGAATGCTCAGCAATTCTGTCTCTATCACAAAGCTCTTAGTCTTGTAAACACCACAACTCTCTTCTCACATACAACAATATATAAGATATCCTTGTTTCTTCTCCACGAAACCATCATACGACCATATACATATCTGAATTTGTGGTCATTTCAAATTATTTCACATTTTCCACTGTTGTTTGCTCATAACAATTTCTGAGCAGTCGACACCGACCGCTTTTCCTCTCGGGCTGGGCAAACACACCTCACTCCTCTCTGGGCGCTTCTGCATTGCCTGTCCTCTGTACCCCAGCTACCATACCTCCGCAGTAATAAAGTATAAATCTGCGACGATTTTAACTCAACACATCAAGAACGAAACAAGTGCGATTACAGAGGGAACACGTCCTGCACACGTTATTGCATGGGCTCTTCCTTGCTAGTCTGGGCCAGGAGGGTTTTTCTTAAGCCAGTCTCCCTTTGCTTTGGGACGCTCGCGGTATGCTCGGCGACAATACTGCAGATATACGTACATGTATACATACTCACGCGCAGGAGAGAAAGCAGAAGCAGGAGATGGAGGGAGGGAGGGAGAGAGAGAGAGAGAGAGAGAGAGAGAGAGAGAGAGAGAGAGAGAGAGAGAGAGAGAGAGAGAGAGAGAGAGAGAGAGAGAGAGAGAGAGAGAGAGAGAGATTTGATTTTGATTTTAGAAAGCTTATTCAATATAATATACAGCTGTACATAATTATGCCTAATTGTTTTATACAGTGGTATCATTTCAAGTACATTATCATATACAAGGAAGTAATATACAGAGTATTGAGAAAAAGCATAGATCATGCATTTCTTGGAGTATAATGAAATTAATATAAATACACATTTTACAAAATCAATCATGAAAAATATAACCATCTATTACAGGCGAATGAACTATATTTTCAAGGATGTCTTGAAGTTGACCGTCTTCAATGAAATCATAAATGATAGTATATATGATTTCAGACCCATCCGTATCTCGATGTTCTATAATTAGTGGGCCTTACAGTGCATAGCGTTCAAGGGTGTGAGCATATAGCTGCCTGCACACCTTACATGCACTACCCTCACCTCCAAGAGAAACATTACATTCCCAATAATATTTATACCCCAACCGTAACCAAGCTGTCACCACATCCATTTTTCTTGTTACCTTATCATAGTTATTCCGTAAATATGTTTCTATTTTTCACATTTCGTTATGATATGATACTGATCTGCTAATTCCTATATCTCCGTCACGTTCATTACCATCCTTAAAAGAGAGTTTTTTGCTTTAACATGCTGTGAACATGGCTAGGTGCTATGCCTATATCATACTCAATGAGGCCTTGTTGGGCTGATGACTTTGGTAAGTTATCGGCCGCGTCATGGAGCTTGATGTCGATATGAGATGGTATCCAAAGCAGTTTAATGTTAATGCTCTTACGATGAGGTCTATTTAGTCTGGGTCTTGCTGTACAAACAAACACTGTGGCATCATTCTTAATAGAGAGAGAGAGAGAGAGAGAGAGAGAGAGAGAGAGAGAGAGAGAGAGAGAGAGAGAGAGAGAGAGAGAGAGAGAGAGAGAGAGAGAGAGAGAGAGAGAGAGAAAGAGAAAGAGAGAGATGAATATATAAGCTAATTTAAATATATCCTT